TGGGGCCGGAGGCCAGCGGGTGCTGCAGCGCGGCGGAGGACACGGTGTGCAGGATGTCCAGCACGGGCTGCAGCAGGTCCTCGGGCGGCCGCGCGTCGTCCGGCTTCTTGCTGAGCAGGATGCTGAGCAGACGCTCGCGCAGCTCCCGCTCCTTGCGCTGCAGGCCCAGCGCGCGCTCCTTCTCCTCCTCCACGCGCCGCAGCTCGGCCTCCTGCAGCCGCCGCCGCTCCTCCTGCCGCTGCAGCCGCAGCCGCTCCTCCTGCTGCTCCTGCTCCTGCAGCCGCGCCGCCTGCGGGGGGACAGGACACCGGTGCTGAGCGCGACGCCCTGGGCTGGCCTGGGAGGAGGCCTTGCGCCCGCTCGGCGGAGGCCACTGCCACGCAGTTCCCCGGTCAGGAGACTCCAGGAACGGTGCATGCTGAGCGGAGTTAAGGCGAGTGCATGGTGCACCCCGCTTAGGGTACAGCTGTGCCCAGCGACGGGCCCAAGCCTGGTGCCGGCCACAAGGTTCATGTTTTCAATACGCACCACAGCGCGAGAGCTGAGGGCCAGGGGCCCACATGCGGGCTCCTCTGCGGCCCAGCACCACCGCAACCACACCAGGCACGGGCGCCGTGGCCTGGCCCCCACCGCAGGGCGCTGCGCCGCACCTCTGTTGCTCTGCCCAAATGCAGCCTCCCGCCTGGAGGAGCTGGGCCTCCAGCCACCCACCACACCCACGAGCGGCGCTGAGGGCCAGGGCACAGCCAGGGATGCCAAGGGCAGGGAACAAGACAACGCAGATCCGCGCTCTATGCACCAAGAGCTGAGGAGGAAGAGGAGGAGACAGACAGGGAGGAGGAGGAGGAGATGGAGGAGACAACGCAGATCCGCGCTCTATGCACCAAGAGCTGAGGAGGAAGAGGAGGAGACAGACAGGGAGATGGAGGAGGAACAGATGGAGGAGGAGGAGATGGAGAGGGAGATGGAGGAGGAGATGGAGGAGGAGGAGATAGAGGAGGAGGAGGAGATGGAGGAGGAGATGGAGAGGGAGATGGAGGAGGAGGAGATGGAGGAGGAGGAGATGGAGGAGGAGGAGGAGATGGAGGAGGAGATGGAGGAGGAGATGGAGGAGGAGGAGATGGAGGAGGTGGAGGAGGACATGGAAGAGGACATGGAGGAGGAGGAGATGGAGGAGGAGAAGATGGAGGAGGAGAAGATGGAGGAGGAGATGGAGGGGGAGATGGACGAGGTGGAGATGGAGGAGGAGGAGATGGAGGAGATGGAGGAGGAGGAGGGCATGGAGGAGGAGATGGAGGATGATGAGATGGGGGAGGAGATGAACGAGGTGGAGATGGAGGAGGAGGAGATGGAGGAGGAGGAGATGGAGGAGGACGAGGAGATGGAGGAAATGGAGGACAAGATGGAGGAGAGATGGAGGAGGTGGAGGAGGAGATGGAGGAGGAAGAGATGGAGGAGGAGGACATGGAGAAGGAGGAGATGGAGGAGGAGACGGAGGAGGAGACGGAGGAGGAGACGGAGGAGCAGATGGAGGAGGAGGTGGAGGAGGAGATGGAGGAGGAGGAGGTGGAGGAGGTGGAGGAGGAGATGGAGGAGGAGGAGATGGAGGAGGAGGTGGAGGAGGAGATGGAGGAGGACATGGAGGAGGAGATGGAGGAGGAGATGGAGGAGGAGGAGATGGAGGAGGAAGAGATACAGAAAAAAGAGATGGAGGAGGAAGAGATGGAGGAGGAGGAGATGGAGAGGGAGATGGAGGACGAGATGGAGGAGGAGGAGGTGGAGGAGGAAGAGGTGGAGGAGGAGAAGATGGAGGAGGAGGAGATGGAGGAGGAGAAGATGGAGGAGGAGATGGAGGAGGAGGAGATGGAGGAGGAGATGGAGGAGGAGAAGGATTAGAAAATGGAGGAGGAGATGGAGGAGGAGATGGACGAGGAGATGGAGGAGGAGATGGAGGATGAGGAGAAGGAGGTGGAGGAGA